GGTCTCTCCTGCCCGGGCTGGCTTTGAACCGTGATCCTCAGATCTCAGCCTCCTGAGTAGCTAGGATTACAGGCGTGAGCCACCAGCGCCGGGCTCCACCTGGAAACCTTTGACTTTAAGCCCTGTCCCATGGCTGAAGCCCCTCCCATGGCTGAAGCCCCTCCCTTTTCCCCAGCAGTCCCTCCCCTGCCTTCATTCTCATTGTAGCCAAAACCTACTTTCAGACTGAGAACAGTTCCCAGACCCCTTCCTGGTGTAAAGCTCTGACTCCCATTGCTAAAATCCACCTCCAGCCCAGTCTCCATCATGCAGTACCCAGTTCAAAGCTCCGCCCCTTTCTTAATTTAACCCTATTCCCCAAGATATAAACCACAGGGGTCTAGCTTCAGACTTGCTTTCCTTATTCTAAGCCTAGTTAGTGGATTCCAGATCATAGAGCTGTCTTCAAAAATATTAACTTTGGGGCTGGGAAGGTGGCTCAGTGGTAAGAGTGCTTGCTTTGCATTCATGAGGCCCTGGGTTCAATTCCTCAGCACCACATAAGTAGAAAAAGCTGGAAGTGGCGCTGTGGCTCAAGTGGTAGAGCGCTAGCCTTGAGCTGAAGAGCTGAGGGACAGTGCCCAGGCCCAGAGTCCAAGCCCCACGACCACCAAAAAAAAAACAAACAAAAATATTAACTTTGGTCTGGGAATGTGGCTTAGTGGTAGAGTGCTTGCCTAGCCTGCATGAAGCCCTGGGTTTGATTCCTCAGTACCACATACACAGAAAAAGCCAGAAAGGGCGCTGTGGCTCAAGTGATAGAACGCTAGCCTTCAGCAAAAAGAAGCTCAGAGACAGTGCCCAGGCCCTGAGTTCAAGCCCCAGGACTGGCAAAAACAGAAATATTAACTTTTTATGGGCTATGGTAGGGCATGCCTATAATCCCAGCTTTTGGGTGATAGAGGCTGGCGGTTAGAGGCCAACTTGGGTTACTTAGGGAGAACTTGTCTCAGAAAGGAATAGAGGAATAGAGGAAGGCAAGGGAGGGAAGGTGAGAGGAAGCGAAGAAGGAAGGACGGTAGGTGGGCTGGATATGGGCAGGAAAAAGAATCGTGACCCCATAAACCACCTCGTGATTTGAGTCTTCCTGGGCGGGGCCTATCAGCAGTAACGCCCCTTGGATTTTTTTTTTTCATCTTAAATTCCTTTTTTCCCAGGACAGAGCCTCTGCTCAGCAGCAGCTGTGGATGGTGGAGGACACACTGGCTGGTCTGGGGGGGCCCCAGAAGCAGCCCCCGCCCACCGAGCCTGAGTCCCCTTCCCCTGCGCACCAAGGGGAGGAGTCCTCAGAGAGAGAGGTGAGACCCTTACCTGGTCCTGTCTGACCCCCGCCCAACCCCCACCCCCACACCACCTCTTTCCCTGATCTTTGGCCAGCTACCCAATTTCAGGCACATACCTTCTCACCTGGAAGCCTTTCTTTCTTGCCCCCAAAGGATCGCTAATATAGCCCTCCTTCCTGTGGACACTAAACTCACTGGTTGCTCAAGACCCTCATACAATGTAGCATAATAGAGCTGGGTGCCCGTAGCTCACACCTATAATCTGAGCTATTCAGGAGGCTGAGATCTGAGGATCCCAGTTCAGAGCCAGCCTGGGCAGGAAAGTTCATGAGACTCTTTATTTCCAATGAACCACTACAAAAAACAAAGAAAAGAAAAAGCCAGAAGTGGAGCTGTGCTAGCCTTGAGCAAAAAAGCTCAAGAATCCTAGTTACTGAGGAGCTGAGATTTGAGGAACACAGTTCAAAGCCAGCCCAGGCAAGAATATCTGTGAGATTCTTATCTCCAATGAACCACCAGAAAACTGAAAGTAGTGCTGTGGCTCACAGTAGTAAAGCATTATCCTTGAGCACAAAAGCTCAGGGACAGTGCCCAAGCCCCACAACTGACAAAGTAATTATATAATAATAATAATAATTGCATGTGGGTTTTGAACTCAGCAAGCACCTCTTGCTTTGTAGGCAGGTGCTACTCTACCACTTGAGCCACATCTCCAGATATGTTTTTGCTTTAGTTATCTTCTTTTTTTTTTTTTAAACCAGTCCTGGGGCTGGGCACTATCCTTGAGCTTCTTTTGCTCAAGCCTAGCACTCTGCTACTTGAGCCACAGCACCACTTCTGGCTTTTTTCTGTTTATGTGGTGCTGAGGACTCGAAACCAGGGCTTCCTGCATGCTAGGCAAGTGCTCTACCACTAAGCCACCTTCCCAGCCATGCTTTAGTTATCTTTGGGATACAGTCTTCATTTTTTTGTTCAAGCTCATCTGGACCACAATCTTCCTATTTAACACCTCCTGACAGGCATGTACCACCATGGCCAGCTTTTTTGCTGTTGTTGTTGTCAGTCATGGGGCTTGAACTCAGGGCTTGGGTGCTGTCCCTGAGCTTTTTCACTCAAAGCTAGTGCTCTACCACTTTGAGCCACAGCGCCACTTCCAGTTTTCTGTTGGTTAATGAGAGATAAGAGTCCCACTGACTTTCCTGCCCAGGCTGGCTTTAAACCATGATCCTCAGATCTCAGCCTCCTGAGTAGCTAGGATCACAGTGGTGAACCACTGAGGCCTGGCTTGCACAGCTTTTTATTGGTTGAGACAGGCTCTTGTCAAGATTTTGCCTTTGCTGATTATCTGGGATTACAGGCATGAGCTTCTATACCCAGCCTCAAATATTTTCACTTCATGGGGGGTGGAATCTGTACAACGGGAGCTGTCAGATGAGAAAGGCCAAGCATCTGCCATCATAATCCATCATGGCAGCTGGGGCCAGCTCTGGCCACCCACCCATTGTGTGCATTTAGTCTCATCTCCATATCCAGTCATATCAGTCAGGCATATTAGTCAGGAAGGAACATTCACACCACAGTCATTGGCCTACATCACTGATCATAACCAACAAGGAGAAGAGATGGTGAAGGAGAAGTACCTGGCACAGAGCTGACATTTGGGAAACTGAAATCATTGTTGTCCTAGACAGATCAGAGCCACATCTTGCTAACTCTCCAACTGTGTACTCAGAAAACCAGGTGGAGGGCTGGGAAGGTGGCTCAGTGGTAGAGCGCTTGCCTTGCATGCCTGAGGCCCTGGGTTCGATTCCTCAGCACCACATAAGCAAAAAGAAAAAAGCCGGAAGTGGCGCTGTGGCTCAAGTGGTAGAGCACTAGCCTTGAGCTGAAGAGCTGAGGGACAGCGCCCAGGCCCAGAGTTCAGGCCCCATGACTGGACCCCCCCCAAAAAAAAAAAGAAAACCAGGTGTAGAACCCAGCTGAGCCATCTTGGAGATTTTAGTTATCAGCTTCATTACATGCCCCTAAATTCACCATCTGGAAAATGAGCTCGATAAGAACTAATAGTAATAATTTTAGTGACCTTATGAGTTTATTGTGTAATGCCATCCTATTTTGGTGGTCACATGCTTAGCAGAATAATAGACTCATGATCAGAATAACAGACTCATAAGAAAACCTTGCACTTGTAATTACTTGCTAGTGTAATGACTTGAGTGTCAGTCACTGTTCTAAGTACCTTATGTATGTGGACTCATAGGGTCCAGAGAGGTAAAGCTACATGTTCAAAGTCACACAGCTAAAATGGCAGAGAGGAGATATGAAACCAAGTTGTCTGGCTCTGTCAAGATCTCTTGCTTTGCTCGGATTGTTTGCTGGTCCTCTACCACTTGATCCATGCCTGTAGCCCAGCTTTTTACTGATTCTTTTGGAGATGGAGTCTAGAGGATTTTTTCTGCTTGGGGTTGGCCTGGAAACTTGACTTTAGATCTCAGCTTCTTTTTTTTTTGGTCGGTCATGGGGCTTGAACTCTGGGCCTGGGTGCTGTCCCTCAGTTCTTCAGCTCAAGGCGAGCGTTCTACCACTTGAGCCACAGCGCCACTTCCAGTTTTCTAGTGGTTTATTGGAGATAAGAGTTTCACGGACTTTCCTGCCTGGGCTGGCTTTGAACTGAGATCCTCAGATCTGAGCCTCCTGAGTAGCTAGGATTACAGGTGTGAGCCACCAGCGCCTGGCTCAGCTCCTTTAGTAGTTAAGTATGATCCATTAATGCTCAATGGGGTTTATAATTTTATTTATTTATTTTTTGGTGCCAGTCCTCGCTTGAACCCAGGGCCTAGGTGCTGTCCCCTTAGCTTTTGTGCTCAAGGGTAATGTTCTACCAGGTGAGCCATTGCTCCACTTTTCTTGCTCAGGCTGGCTTTAAGCCACGATTCTCAAATTTCACCCTCCTGAGTTGGCTAGGATTACAGACATGAGCCACTGGTGCCGGGCTGGGCTTATAATATTAATCTTCAGGAGTCTGAGTCCCTGAGCACTGCAAAAACAGTTATTACGATCACAAGTCCTTCTTTGTGTCCCTGAAGAGCTTGCCTGAGTCTGCAGGAGTGAGCACGCCTCGGTCCCCTGAGGCTGACTGGGGGCGGCCCCCGGGACGTGACCAAGGTGACAGTACTCTTGCAAGTCCACACACAACAGGTGAGCATACTGTAGGGTGCTTGTGGGGTTTCCTGGAGCTCCCATACTCACAGAGCCCTTCCATCCTTCCAGGTCTTGAGTCTCCAAGGATCTCCCGGGCACCCAGCCCTGAGTGTCGCCGCCCTTCTTCCCCACAGCTGGGAACCAAGGTAAGTCAGCTGTGTGACTTGAGGTGGGTTAGTAAACTTCTCTGTGCCTCCTTCGTATCATCCCAGGACCTTACCTGTGTTAGCTAGGAACTCCGCCACTAAAGCGTATGTCCAGATTATCCTATACTAGGATTTGAACTCATGACTTTGCACTTGCCAGGTAGGTGGGCTACCCCTTGAGCCATTATTTCTTTGACCAGAATGAGTTCAGAGGTTTTTCTTTCTTTGTGTGATGTGCAATCTGGAATTCTGACTCCTAGCAGAAGCTCATTATGGCCAAGAGTTTGAGTACTTCCTTCCTTTTGGGGGAAATAGAGCAAGAGGAGGCCCAGGTTGAATCTCCACCATTTTATCTTCCTAGGCTCCTGTAGCCCGGCCCCGCATGAGTGCAAGGGAGCAGCTGGAGCGCATGCGCAGAAACCAGGAACATGGCCAGCCTCTTCCACGCCCTGTCTCTCCCAGCCTCCTCACCCTAGGGAGGACCCTGTCCACAGCCAGACACCAGCCTGACATGGAACAAAGGGTGAGAGGAATGGGGTCAGTCGTGGGGCAGTGGGGTGGTAGAGGGCTCTGAACTTCCACTTTGAGCCTCAGTTTCTCCTTCTGAGATATGAGCATACTCCCTTATCCATACCCCCTCACCCAATTTGCCCTTCTCAGCTTCCTGCCTCCTCTAACAGAGGGTGGTCAGAAGGGGGTGAGAAAACCCCAGATCTTTCTTCAGAACAGAGTTCACAGGTCTCATTGGAAGCCCAATTTTTCTTCTCACTTATTGTTATTTAAGGAAGCAAGGCGGAGGGGTCAGAATAGTGGGCAAGGAATTTCCCCACATTATTTTAGTAAGGAGACTCCGGGGACCTGAGACCAGAGGATTTTCCACAGCTCAGGATAGTTGTGCCTTAGAATTTTATGGTAGTCGGGCTGGGAAGGTGGCTCAGTGGTAGAGTGCTTGCCTTACATGCATGAGGCCCTGGGTTCGATTCCTCAGCACCACATAAGCAAAAAGAAAAAAGCCGGAAGTGGTGCTGTGGCTCAAGTGGTAGAGTGCTAGCCTGAGCTGAAGAGCTGAGGGACAGCACCCAGGCCCAGAGTTCAGGCCCCACGACTGGACCCCCCCCTCCCAAAAAAAAAGAATTTTATGGTAGTCAATTGTCAGTTGCTGTGCCAAAGTACCTGAGAAAAATACCACAGAGGAGGAAAGATAGACTCTTGGCTTGTGACTTTAGGGATTTTGGTCCTTGTTTGTGGGCTCCTTTGTTTCTGGGCTTATGATAAGGAAGGAAACCATGGAGGAGGGTTGTGGTAGAGCATACTGGAAGCAGATGGAGCAAGGGGTCAGAGACAAGATAAATTTTCCTGGGGTACAACACCCACAGACTATCTTCCTCCAACTGTACCCCACTTCTTAATGATCTGTTATGCTATGAATCCATCATTGGGTTGATCAATAGGATATATGATTAATCTTCTCTCAATGGTGTTCCAGGCTGAGGATCTAGCCTACCACATGTAAGCCATTGAAGATATTCTACCTCCACTTTAATAGGCAGTAGACAGGTCCTAATGGTAGGTGTGTATGTGTGTGTGTGTGTGTGTGTGTGTGTGTGTGTATGTGTATGTGTGTGTTGTAAAATTTGTGAACCAGCGCTGATTTCCAGAAACAAAAGTGAAATTACACGTCAGCGTGTTTGGGCAATTTTCATTTCCTCTCTGAAGGCCTTCTACTTCATCCTCCAAATGAAGTCAGGAATTCTAATGCCCCAATTCCTTTCCAGCCTATCGTAGGAGCTGCAAAATGGCTCAGAAGCTCAGGGTCCTGGAGTAGGTAAGGCACTGGAGGGTAGGGGAAGGGAGTAGGGAGATTAATGTGCAAAAGTGTCAGCTAGCCTTACTATTAGAGTCTCCTGAGTAGTAAATTTCAAGTTGCAAAATCTTTAGAGCTCCTTGGGCTCTAAGAAGAGGATCTGAAACAAAACCAAGAATCAGTTGGGAGCAAGGATTACGTACTAAAGTTCCCAGAACTCTCATGGCTTAAATCAAACCCTACCCCTTCCTTCCAGTATTCTTGTATTATTGGTGTGGTGTGCAGTGGGACTACAAATCCCATAAGGCACTTGGCCTAGGTTTAAAGTCTCTTGGGAGACAAGGCACGTGGTAGGAACTACAACTCCCAGAAGCCTGAGCTTACCTGCTTGGTCCTTGCTATACAGAATCTTTCCAACCCTGAAGCCCACCTTCGCTCTCTCTCTCTCTCTCTTTTTCTTTTGTCTTTTTTTCTAGTCCCAGGATCACCACACCATACTTGCCCACCTCCGACGGTCACCGGGAGCGAGTTCTCAGCCTTTCCCAAGCCCTGGCCACTGAGGCATCGCAGTGGCACAAAATCATGACAGGTGACGACAGGGGATGTCATCCTACTGGGTTTTGGGCCACGGGGAAGCTGGAGTCCAGGGGTGAGCACTGTCAAGCCATTCTTTTGGGGAGAACGTGAGGGCAGGGATCGGGTCCTAGCAAGGAGAAGGGGGCCACCAGGTGAGCAGCAGCCGAGTCTCAGAGAGGAATCGAAAGGGTCCCAGGGTGGGAGGGAGGAGAGCTTGAGTCAGCCTGGATCTGAAGGGAAGGGGCGGGATGCTTAGGGGCGGAGTCCCTAAGTTTGCTCTTCTCCTTCTCTTTTAGCCACTCCAGGTGGAAATTCGGAGGCCAGGGGAGACCTTCCCCCTCCAGCACCTCCGCCCCCGGAAGATTCCACGCCCAGAGTGGCCTCTCCCCTACCATCTTCTCCCGTGGCCAACTCAGGGTCCAAGGGTTTCCCACGCCCCGGTGGTGGCAGGGGCAGAGGCCCCGCCCCCTGGGAATCCACGTGGGACCCTGGGAACGCCCCGCCCCAGGCGCAGGATGAGGGGGCGTGGCCTCTCCGAGTCACTCTGCTGCAGTCCAGTTTCTGACTGGCCCAAACGCCACGGCCAATCAGATCGTGGGGGCGTGGCCCTGGCGGTGCCACTCTGAACGGTGGGACCACTCTGGGTGCTAAGGAGGCGTGCACGGCCTCCACCTGTGGTCCGAGTGGGCGTGGCATCTGTGGTCAAAGATTGATTCCCTCCCCACCTCCCCACCGCTGTCTAAATTTGGATTAAAACTTTGAACTTTTACTCAGTAACTTTGTTTGTTTGGGGATGTGCTCCTGGGTGGTAACGCTGGAGGCCTGGATGTCGGTGTGCTGAGGGAATTAAGACTCAGGTCTGAGGAAAGAGCGAGGGAGGGAGGGAGGGTCCTGAAGTGGGATCTGAGAGAGGAACGGATAGATAACTGCAATCCTTATTTGAGGGAGGAGGCTGGGGTCTGGACCACCCCCTCCCCCGGGTCTGAGGGAGGAGGCTGGGGTCTAGATCCCTGGGTCTGAGGAATGAGGACTGGGATCTAGACCCTGGGTCTGAAGAAGACTGGAACTTCGACCCCTGGGCGTCTCAGAAGAAAGGTCTGGGGCCCCCCTTCCAGGTCTCGGGCCATCCTTGCAACATCCCCAGGGCTGGCTTCTAGGAACCAGCTCTACCGGACTTGGGAGGCTGAGAGTCTCGGCGGAGAGGAATGGCTGCAGGAGGGCGCTACGCGGGGAAGGTGGTGCTGGTGACCGGGGGCGGCCGCGGCATCGGAGCGGGGATCGTCCGGGCCTTTGGTGAGTTTGGGGGTAAGGGGTCTGTTAGAGGGGGGGAGCAGGGGAAGGGGCAGAGACTCCTCAGCCGGGGTGGAAGGGCTGCGGGGATGGCCCAGGGCGCCTCCTCTTTCTGATGGTTGCTATAGCTACGAAGGACAGGTTTGGGACTTTATTTCCCTGCGTGTTTGCGGTGGGTTTTCTCGAGCCCCCTCTCCAAGCGGGGACCTGGATGAGCTGGGCCGGGGAGGGGGGAGGTGCGGGAAGGCTCTGCCCTTTGTCCCGGGACCATCATGAGACTGAGGTCACGAGTGGAGGCCGAGGTCGGCTCTGCTGTGGGTGACCACGAGGGGGCAGCAGAGGCCGGGAAGGAGGAATGGGGAGGGGGGAGGTTAAACACCTGTTCTCTTTCTCTTCCAGCCCAGAGTGGGGCCCAGGTGGTGTTCTGTGACAAAGATGGTAAGTGAGGCAGGGACCACTGTCCTCACCCCCACACCACCTCCCTCACACCTACCCAGCCTCCTCTATCAGACCCAGGGGTCCAGGCCCAGCCTCCTCCCTCAGAACTAGGAGTCCAGGCCCAGCCTCCTCACTCAGACTCAGGGGTCCAGGCCCTAATTCTCCTCCCTCAGACCCAGGGTCTAGACCTCAGCCTCCTCCTTTGGACATGGCAGTCCAGGCCTTGCTCATCTCTCCCTGCAGAGTCAGGAAGCCGGGCCCTGGTTCGGGAACTTCCTGAAACTGTCTTCATCCCGTGTGATGTGACCCGGGAGGAAGAGGTGGAGGTGAGCACAAGTTCTGCCCCTGTTCTCTCCCCATCTGTAGTAAACACTCGCACTCTCTAGCTTAGTTCTGCCTGGAGTTTGCACACGTATCCCTGCACCTCTTTTTTCTCTCCAGACTCAGTTGTACCTTCTCCTCCTCAGTGTCCTTTCCCTGGGTCTGTTTCTCTCTCTTTTTCTGTCCTACTTTGGGGTTCTGCTTCTTCTTCAGGCAGACGCCCCTCACCCCAGCTCCTCACAGGTTGATTCTTTCCTGACCTCAGACCCTTATTGCTGATACCATCCGTCTATTCGGCCGCCTGGATTGTGTGGTTAACAACGCTGGCTACCGTGAGTTGTGAATGTGGGCTGGTGCTGGGATGCTGGGATCACAAGCAGGAGCCACCTACTGCCACCTGCCACATGCCAGCCCTCCTCTTCTTCTATCCTCCTCTCCTCCTCCTCTTCCTCTTCTCCTCCTCCTTCTCCTTCCTCTTCTTTCTTCCTCCTTCTTCCTCTTCTTCCTTGGTCGTGGGGCTTGAACTCAGGGCCTGGGTACTGTCCCTGAGCCTCTTTGTGCTCAAGGCTAGTGCTCTACTACTTGAGCCACAGCACCACTTCTTTCTGGCTTTTTTGAGTAGTTTAGTGGGAATATGAGTCTCACAGGGACTTTTTTGCCTGGACTGGCTTCAAACTATCATCCTAAGATCTCAGCTCCTGAGTAGCTAGGATTACAGGCATGAGCCACGGGCACCTGGCCAGCCCTCTCTTCTTATTGCTGATCTTTTTGTTCCTTGTTCACTTCTCCCTCCCAACTTGTTTACTTAGCAAACACATGTACAGTCCTTACTAAGTGTCAGGGACAAATATATATATTTTTAATTGTGAAAATACTGTATATAGGGGTTACAATTACATGGACAAGATAATGAGTACATTTCTTATCAAGCATTGTTGCCTCCTCCTTTGTTTCCCCTTCCCATCCCTTCTCATCTCCCACCCCCAACCCCCTACTCCCCCCTCTGCCTCCCCCCACCCCCAGGTACAAATATTGTCTTGAAATTTAGAAGCCTAAACCAGGCATGGTGAGTGATGCACACCTTTAATTCCAGCATTCAGAAGGCTGAGGCAGGAGGATCATGTGTTCAAGTCTAGCCTGGGCTACTATTAGATTCTTGTCCATCATGAGGCTTGAACTCTGGGCCTGTCCTGTCCCTCAGCTCTTCAGCTCAAGGCAAGTGCTTTATCACTTGAGCTACAGTGCCATTTCTGGTTTTCTGGTGGTTTATTGGAGATAAGAGTCTCATGTTCTTTCCTGCCTGGGCTGGCTCCGAATTGGATCCTCAGATCTCAGCCTCCTGAGTAACTAGGATGACAGGTGTAAGCACTATCAGACTCTTATCTCAAAAAAAAAATTCAGAGGTTGGGAATGTGTCTTAGTGGTAGAGCGCTTGCCTAGTATGCATGAAGCCCTGGGCTCAATTCCTCAGTACACATAAACAGAAAAAGCCCGGAAGTGTTACTGTGGCTCAAGTGATAGAGCACTAGCCTTGAGCAAAAGAAGATTAGGGACAGTGCCCAGGCCCTGAGTTCAAGCCCCAGGACTGGCAAAAAAAAAAAAAAATTCAAAGCCCAAGATGAGATGTTATCTAATATTGCAAGTTGAGAAAGAAAAGGAAGCACAGAGAAATGACTTTCGCCAGAGTCACTACATGGGAAGTGGCAGGGCTGAGATTGGAACCCTAGTCTTTCATTAGGAGCTACTTAATACCCTTCCTTGACATGTCCCTCTCCCTTCCTGCCCACAGCCCTCTCCTCTGTCCTCTCTCCCCTTAGATCCACCCCCTCAGTGGCCTGAGGAGACTTCAGCCCAGGGCTTCAGGCAGCTGTTGGAGCTGAATCTGTTAGCTGCTTACACATTGGCCAAGGTGAGGGCTGGAGCCGTCTTTGTCTAAAAGCAGAATGTTTGTGCTTGTGTTTGTTTTTCTCCCTGTTCTGCAAGGACACTGTTTTTGTTGCTTGTTTTTTTTTTTTTTTTTTGCCAGTCCTGGTGCTTAAACTCAGCTTTGGCACTGTCTCTGAGCTTCTTTTTTTCTTTTTTCTTTTTTTGTCCGTCCTGGGGCTTGAACTCTGGGCCTGGGAGCTGTCCCTCAGCTCTTCAGCTCAAGGCTAGCGTTCTACCACCTGAGCCACAGTGCCACTTCTGATTTTCTGGTGGTTCATTGGAGATAAGAGCCTCACGGACATTCCTGCCCAGATTGGCTTTGAACTATGATCTTCAGATCTCAGCCTCCTGAGTAGCTAGGATTACAGGTGTGAGCCACCAGCGGCCAGCTGTCTAAGCTTCTTTTGGTCAAGGCTAGCACTCTACCACTTGAGCCACAGTACCACTTCCAGCTTTTTCTATGTATGTAGTACTGAGGAATTGAACCCAGGGATTCATGCATGCTAGGCAAGCACTCTACCACTAAGCCACACTCCCAGCCCCAGGACTGTTTTTGTAGACAGAATGCAACCCCCTCCATCCAGGACGATCTGACTGAATAGCTGTAGGACCTGACCTTTCTTAGGTTCTTCCAAGACCTTCCAAACTGGTGTAGAGATGACAGAAGGCTGGGGTGGGGTCTCAGCTATCCAGGAAGTCAGTCGCAGGCAGTGGATAGCTATTTTTATTTTTATTTAGGTTTTGGATGTGTGTGCAAGTCCTGCAGCTTGAACTCAGAGCTGTGGTACTGTCTTTGAGCTTTTTTTGCTCAAGGTTGGCACTCTACCACTTGAGCCACAGCTCCCCTCCTGGCTTTTTGTTGATTAATTGGAGCTAAGAGTCTCATGAACTTACCTGCCTGGACTGACTTTGAACCTTGGTTCTAACATCTCAGTCTCTTGGGTAGCTGGGATTACAGGTGTGAGCCACCAGCACCTGGCTTTTTTTTTTTTTTTTTTTTACTTTTTTAATCCTTTTGGTGGTACTGGGATTTGAACTCAGTTCTAGGCAGACATTCTACCACTGGAGTTACACACCTACTTAATCCATGCCCATTCAAGCCACAGCCCCATATCCTCTGAAATGGTTTACTCTGTGGCACTCAGAGTATATACAGGAAGGCAGAAAGAATTGTATATTGAATTGGCACAAGGCCTTTGTTTCTAGTCAGGCATTGGTAGCTCACGCCTGTAATTCTAGCTGCTTGGGAGGCTGAGATCTGAGGATCCTAGTTCAAAAACATCCTAAGTAGAAATGTCCCATCCACCTCAGTTCTCTGCCACTTCTTTTTTTTGGGGGGGTCCTGTCCTGGGGCCTGAACTCTGGGCCTGGGCACTGTCCCTCAGCTCTTCAGCTCAAGGCTAGCGCTCTACCA